GGATATTTCGGTGTCGTCGTCGAAGAAATTGGCGAGGAACTTAGTTTCCATGTCGTCCCAGCTGCTCACACTTCCTGGCTTGAGGCGACGATACCAATCGAAGGCGGCTCTACGAAGAGTGCCAACGAAGACCGTACCATCAGAGGTTCATTGCCGGAGATTACCCCCAAGTGCGATTTGAAATAAATCAAATGTTGAGTGGGTGAACCCTTCCCATCAAACGACGTGAAGTTAATCAGACTGAACTTCGCTGGATAGGGGATTGATTCCCATTCTCATGGGTATGGACAAGGAATGCCCGTCTTCTTCATCTCTTGAGCGGAGATCAATGTGTTGATTTTGCTCTCGAGATTTTTGATTTTCAGACTTTCACCTGAGTTTTCGTCAGCACGATTCGGAGGTGGAAGCGTGGTGTTGTGACTAGCATCCTCATTGCCACCCCCTGCGTTGACGGGAGGATTATTGGCATTATGAGCTTCATTTGTATCCTCATCTTCCTGATGAACTTGGTTACGACGACTTGGTTCGCCTTGCTGGTTCGTCAGTGCTTGGATCTGTTGGTCATGCATCTCTCTCATGTTCTGCATGGCCATCTGCATTTCGAACCTGAAGCTCTCCTGTTGCTTAGCCAAGGCATCTTCTAGCATTTTGGCCACTTGTTCCGCGCTTATCATGAATGACTCGCGGGGCTGTTCCTCGCTGGATACCGTGTTATCTGATGCGACAGCAGAGCAGGAATCCGATTCTTCATCTTCTGACGGTGATCTTGTCCGAATCCTACCATAAGTTCCTCGTATGATAGCTCTAGACTGCAGACGAGTTAGATACCGGGGTATTGGCGGAATTGACTCGGGATTATCCCGTGTCGATGCCCTTTTGCTGGTCATGTTGGTGGTGACCCTTGGAAATTCTCCATCTTCGACTATCCTTCTTCTTCATCGGAAACGCCTAGGCCTTGGTTTTGGCGTTTCGGTACTAAGTCTTTCGAAAACCGAAACTCGTTCGGGGACCGCCTTGATGCAGCTGCACTCAGACAGTACCGCCCGAATGAGCTTTGAACAAGGGCACTGAGTTTCCAACCTTCGAGGACTTCTCTTTCTAGTTTTGCTCGTACCCCCAGCACGATAGTACAGCTCGTCCGTTTGAAAGTCGGAGCAACCTATCGTGTGTTGGCACGATTTCTCAGGTATAACATAATCATCCTCAGACGATAACGTTTCCTTCTGAGAGCGAACTACCTTCTTTGGGCTTTCAAAATTTACGCGCCTCGAAATATGCCTTTTTGGGCATGAGTTCTCAGCGGGCTCTTGGAATTCAATGCGCAAATTGGTGCGCATAGCTGCCCTGATTTCTTTATCACGTTAGAGATGACGGCGACCCCCAGCGTGTTGAGTCGTTCTGGGCTTCTTCATTGGGCCCAAACTCTCTTGAACTGGAGCTTTGCCTCTCTCGTCGGGAATTGGACCGAGGCGCTCCAAGACTGACTTCCTTTTCTGGGATGGTCCTGCGGGATCTCCCAGAGCAGTTGTGGAAATCATCGCGGTTTGGATTGATTCGTCGGAGAGTTGAATTTCGACGGCTGCAGTTGACGCTTCTTTTGGTCTGAAACGCGCCGGGTCTCCAGTACTTTCGGCCTCCAAACTTTGCTGGTTTGATGGCGGCGTTCTTTGGCACTTCCTTCTGGCAACTTCCTACCGGGCTTCTTGCGGCTTGAGCCGGGCGCTGCGCTGAATTGCGCGGCCGTATTGCGAATGCGCTCACTCAAGCGTCAAACGATTCGCGTTTGACCGCAGGACCTCATTCGCTGCGTTGGCGGCTTGGAGGAACTGCCATTCATCGGTGGTTGAGAGCTGTTTGCTCTTACTCCTGTTCTTCAGATTTCCGGCATTGTAGCGGATTCCGTCGGTTGACTCCACGTCGCTTTTGCGAATTCTCGGGGCCAAGGGCGTTGGGGTCGCCTTTTGAGAGCTCTCTTTGAGAGAGTCGCACACTTGTTGGTGACGGAGATTGCAAGAAATAGGCCTGCCCTGGTTGGAAGTTGGAGAATCTCACGCCGATGCTACTTTGGCATCAACGGGGCGAGATCTTCCGTTGGTGTTTCTACATCTTCACACCAACGAGCTTTGCTCCTAGAGGAGAAAGCTTCTTTGACTTCTTGACTTGTGAGGGGAGGTAAGATCCGGACAGAGAATGATAGATGCCCTCGAACTTTTGTTGGTCGAAACTCATACTCGAGCCTCCTCCGGCTGCAGACGCGGATGCGAGATCCGCGGTTGCGACGCAAGCGATCTGCGGGCAGCGAGATCGGTGTTCTTCCCGACTGTGGTTCGCCAGATTGTTCCGCGGGAAAAATCGTGTCTTTCTTCATTATTGATTCCATTGCTATCTTTAAATAACAACTTTTTGAGTTATAAAGATCCGGTCTTTTTATAAGATCCGGTTACAACGAAATCAAAAATAAAGAAAAAGATTACAACTTTCTCCTTTTATCGAACAAATCGCGAGCTCCTGTTTGCGGTCACTCGCTTTGTGGGTTCTTTGCCTGCGCCGGGGTTTATCCGTGGACCACCGCGAGATCTAGATCCGGTCGGATCTATGCAGTACGACGGGTATTATTTCACCAAGGAAATAATAGCCGGGGAGGATTAGTTCACCAAGGAAATAATCGTCCAAATCTCGGGATCAAAGGCCAAGCTTTGATCCGGAGTATGCCTGCGTAGATCTGAGATCCGGTCCTCTCGAACACCTTCCTTATTTGGCGTTGACGATCGCCGAGCACCAGATCTGGATGAACAAGTCCTCGAAGTCCCAAAACTTGGATCTTTTTAAGTTCTGAGTCTTGAATCCAGCAGGGCTTCGCCTATCCAAATTTTCCAACCTTTTTAAATGAACAAAGGGGAGCCTATTTATAGGCTCTCTGAACTGTGCCCGCGCACAGATCCGGGTCGGCCACCCATGGGTGGCCGGCACTGGGCCGAGCCACCCATGGAGATTGTTCGCGGTGAAAATTGTGTCTTTCATTGAAGTCATTATCATCTTGAATAACAATTTTTTGAGTTACAAAAGATCCGGTCTTTTTTAGATCCGGTTACAACGAAATCAAAGAAAAAAATAAAAATTACAACTTTCTCTTTTTGAACAAATCGCGAGCTCCTGTTTTGCGGTCGCTCGCTTTGTGTGGGTTCTTCGCCGACGCCGGGGTTAATCCGTGGACCACCGCGCGATCTAGATCCGGTCGGATCTACATGATTTGACGGGTATTATTCCGCAAAGGGAATAATAGCCGGGGAGGATTAGTTCACCAAGGAAATAATCGTCCAAATCTCGGGATCAAAGGCCAAGCTTTGATCCGGAGTGTGATTTCGTGTAGATCTCAGATCTGAACTTTACCTCTTTCAAACTCCTGCCTTTTATGACGTAGATGCTCGCCGAGAATTAGATCTGAATCTTCAAGTCCTCAAGTCTTCAAAACTCCAAGCTCGATCTTCAATTCGGCAAAGTTTCGGCTCTCAAAGTTTCAACCTTTTCAAATGAACAAAGGGGAGCCTATTTATAGGCTCTCTGAACTGTGCCCGCGCACAGATCTGGGTCGGCCACCCATGGGTGGCTCGGTCTTGGCCGAGCCACCCATGGGTGGCTCGGCTTTGGCCGAGCCCCCTTAGGCGTTGGGTTTTGTGGTTTTTTCCGTTGTATCCGTTTTGTCCGTGATTCGGTTGTGCGGTTGATTTGTCTGGACTCGATTTGTTGACCTGATTTGGCAGTAAATCCGATTCCTGATTTGGCCGTAAATCCGCTTCTGAGTTCGAGTTCGAAACTGATCTTGATTCGGTCGTGATTCATCCGAGTCCGCTCTTGTTTGGATGACTCGTTGATTCCCCGAACCGTTGGCTTGATTCCGCACGCGAATGG